GAGCGCCGAGTGCCATCTAGTTCTATTATATTCAAGAGAAGGCAGACATCTCTATGATCAATATCTTCAACACTCAGCAACTCACACCAAAACAATATAGATTGATAAATAGCACTACAGGTAAGAGGAGAAATATGTAGTTTTGATCTGAGGTCGAACTATCCCTTTAAGTACTTTCTATCTGTCTAAGTGTTGCCTGTGATCTCTCTTGACCCACAGCTTAATATTTCAACCACAGGATGTGAATGCAAGGGAGGATGCTCAGTGTCATTGTTGTAGTACTAGAGATTGCCCTTGGTCTCAAGAACACTTTTGGTTTCACTTTGCACTCGAAAGCATTTTAACTCTTATCTCGGTCTCAGACAAAGAGGATTTGGGACTTTATTTAAAGACTGGTCAAGACCACAACAGGGATATCACCAAAGTGCTTGTTGAATAAAAATTAAGTTGATATCAGCTCCTTAGTGTTTTTTTGTTGCTTGCTCATAGACAACAAAGTAAAAATGACCATACACAACCCCCCCTCTACAATGCCCTTTCATTTTATTAAGACATTTCTTATGGCACACTTACATATCACACTCATATATAGGCCTACAGCATGACAGTAAAATGAATTTTTATTTATTTTCTGTGGGTGTTTTTATGGGAATGTGGAGCTTTCAGGTCAATTTGAGGAGCTCCTATGCTTTTCATGTTCTTTGTTTAATCAAAGTGTGTCATGCAGTGTGGGACTCTGGTCTGGTTTGTGTCTTGTATTCAACCCTTCAAAGTCTTGATACACTGGTCTCGGTCATGACTTGGTCTCAGTTTAGGAAGTCTTGACTACAACACTGCTCTGTGTGTTGTGTCTCTGGAATGTTGTTATCCTCATTTGCTGTGTGTAAATCAGGATAAAGAGCTTCACTGTCTGTGACTGTGTTTTTGACTGGGGTCTTGCTGTGAGCTCAGCGGCCCTTGAGGGATGAGGTCAACTCTCCCATTGCTGTTTAGGACACTTCAAGAAGTCTAACTGTTCCAAATGATGTTGCCCATTGTTAATTTTCTTCTGTGTTTTTGAGAGCTCTCATTTTTCATACAAGAAATTACACGGTGTGATGTTTTTTCTGAAAAATACCAGCTGGACACAGCTTTAATTCATGAGATACCCTCTAACTGCTTCAATAGGAAATATCAAATCTAAATGACATTTGTGAGGGAAATTCTCCTCTCTGAAGAAGTGACGGACTCAGTATGAGGAATCAGGTCTCTTTAATACATGCAGCATGGAGAGAAGACCTAAGTGTTCCCTTGGGTACAGACTTTAATACCCCACTGAAGCTCCAACCCCCAATTCACAACCAAGAGCTGCCCTCGTAAAGATTGCCCCCAATAAAACAGCTTCACCAATACAGGAAGCTTCCCCCCACCAGACAAAAATGCATGCCTGGATGTTGTTTGTGGTGGGCACTAACATTGAGTTCATGATTTAAAACTAGAACGTTTTAAAGTCATTTTGTAATTTTGTAGCATATATCACACAGAAATAATAATGTATTTACATTGCCCCTTTCATACAAGAAATGCAGCACAAAGATGCTTTATAATAAGGGAATTATAAGCACTGAGTGCTTCACATGAAAATAGACAGTGGGTATAAAACAGAACTGATTCATAAAATCATGAGTTGTAAAACTATAAGCCATGAAATCAAGTAAGATTTTAAGAGTTGCAGCAGCATGACACCTAAATAGAAAGTAAAAGTGTAAAAAGAAAGAGTAAATATATTGGGTTTTTTTCTGGTCACATTGCACAATTTAATTGACTACCTTGGCTTTCAGAATCAACTTCATGTATATCAAACAGGCCCCTCCTTTATTGCTTTAATGTTACTGTCTTCTCCTTCCCATATCTTGTAATGGGCACAGTATGAAGAAATGCAGTACCTGTAAGAAGGTGCTGCAACTGTTTCCTGACAGTTGGAATAAGAGGAAGGACAATGGAAAACAAAATGTGATGCAATACAACACGATAACAACCTACAGAATTTGGTTCACTCTTCAGCTGATGAGGGGTTTTTTTCTCTGCTCATTTTGAGGCCATATTCAACTCTTTGTTAATTTACTGTATATATTAACATTTCTATGTAGATAGGTCACCTCTTACTCCTTCCTGAAGTTATGACAACATCAAATGTTCATCTACTATAATGACAATCAACTGCTTTTAGAGAAGTGACTGCAAAGCTGTCACTTTATGTGTCTTTGCCACAAGGAGGCAGTGTTGATCTGTTGCTGAGAAGAAAGAGAAGGCTTAAGATGATCACTCTGAAAGGGGGGTCATTATGTGTAGAGGAGGTATACAGCGCCTTTGGCCACTCAGAACCAGACTGTCAGCACTATGGACACTATGTGTAGGCCTATATACACAGAAAAAAGGGCCTGAGGCACTATATAGTCTAATTAAACGAAATATCAGAAAGTAAAAGCAGCCCAATTCTTAATTATTTATTTACTAGAAAAATTAGTTTTACAGCTCTGCTGGTTTTTAATGGGAAAATGGGACTATTTATATCTAATATTCAGGGTGAGAGGTGCTGCCTTCAAGTACTTTCATGACGACCATGTAAACATAAGTTCAGACTTTTGTAACACAATGCACTAATAGCAATATTATAAATTGTGTTGATAACACCACGACATATAGGGAGCAACAGTTGACAGATCACAATCACAAACCTCTGTTTAAAATAACAGGGCCATTCATTAGGCTCTCTGCATATATAACTCACCTGGCTTCAGCTATTTTTCTTTCATACGAAGTAACTGTGGCGTAATGACAGTGTGTGCAGCTCCACGTTTAGTGCAGGAGTTTACGAGCGGCCGGGAAGGCATCACGTTTCCATGGTGACCCGACGCAGAGACTTGAAACCACTTGAAACTGAAAGTTAGTGTGAAGTAAATTCAGCGTTATCCGAGATAAAATAGAGCCACCTCGCTCATTAAATAATAAAAACACGTTGAAAGGGCAGAAGTGATGGACAAACTTGAAGACTGTGAAAGTTTTTTGGAGAATGTGGACAAAATAAGTGAGTTATATAGCGGCGAACCTAGCTAACGTTACTAGCTCATTCAAGTTATTGTGGCTAACATGGTTTTTACGAAACCAGATATTAGACGGTGCCACTTTACGCTAACGTTACCTAACAGGTATTTTGTCATTAACCCCATATGAGAAATAAAAGTACGTATATTGTACGTATATGTAACGTTGACAGCATTAGTTGGGGAAGGGCTATATTGTGGTCCACCTTAATGGAGACAAGTAACGTTTCTCTATATGGTAATTTGTGTTGTAACATAATGCAAGTACATTACAGTATAGAGACTATGTATGAATTGTATAGAACTTTAATCAGGTCTTTATGAACAACGTGTGCTATAACACACACATTTTACAACGTGGTTATTTTATATTGTATATTATGTGAGTAAAGGCTAAAGCAAACTATGTTATGAATTATTTCCAGGTGAGCTAGTGAAGGATCTGAAGTCCTCTGAGGTTAAAGTCCAGCAAGAAGCAATGGAGAAAGCAGATCGTTACATTGCTGCCTTGGATGAACCCTGCAGGACAAAAGTCAGCAAGACTACAATCAACACAAACCCACCACTTCAGCCTTCCTCAGTAAAGACATGCACACAGTCAGCCAGTTGCACTCCTTCTCTCACTCTCCACTTGTCTCAGTCCTTCTCATCCTGTCTGTGCCTCTGTCTGTCTGTCTCTCTCTGTCTCTCTCTCTCCTTCTCTTGCTGTCTCTATTTCTCCAACACAACACACAAATGCACAGAGGATATACACAGTACACAACCTACAACAACTTGTTGTGTTGTCTACTTTCTCTTTTCTTGTCATGTAAGAAGGGTCAAGGCTCTGTAGGTAGGTTTTTGTTAACTTTCTTTTAATGGTTCTCCTGTTTTACAGAGTCTGCCCAATGAAAGTCCAGGTGAGTGGGTTATTTGGCTATCTCTTGCACTCGTTTAAAGCATTGTTTAAGCACACTATATGTCCTCATTGTGCAACGCAAGAAAAGTTTCCTTGAGCCAAACAAAATTTAACAATGAATGTACCCATATACCCTTTATGTATCTGTTTCTGTGTTAAGCAGACATGACATTTTCCCTAGGCACAGTGAGATTTTTTAATCAACTGCATCTGTTAGACAGGTTGGTGACTCACCATGTGCCATATTAGGAAGAGAGATGTGGTGCGGTACAAGGTGTGTCCTCAACACTGGATTTTAGTTTCAAGAGGGACCATATTATCCACCACTTGCCTGCTCATACCAGTTTAGACAGCCCCACGAATTGCTCTAATTTTGTCAATTTAGTTGGCAGAGGTTTAATAAGGATGTGAAGTGAACTCTTCCCTCCCTTATCAAACTGTCTTGTCAACCTCACTTGTCATGATGAGGACAGTGCTGCTGTGGATTAGAGGAAATGAATAATTTGACATGATTGATATGTTTTTGTGGGTTTGTTTGTCTAGAGGCCTCTTACAATAATTAGTGGAAAGGTGACATGTAATATTGACTATTTAGGCCACCAAGGCCCTACGCTATAGAAATACTTATGCAACGGACAATGTGGGAAGAGCCACACGAAGAGGAGCTAGCTCAAGGTTAGCGTGCAGCACATCAAGTATGTGCTGAGAAGTTGTTGTGATGATCTTAAAAGCTGGCATTACTTTTTTCATCATGTCTTTTGTATACAGATCCATTTCATTCCAGCTCCTTGAATGTGGTATACCATATAAAATGACTTCATCACATTAACACTTCTTTTTAATTCTCCGTTTGGTAAAACTCATCAATCACAGTAAAGCTGCAAAAAATTTGAACCTTTCAAATCTCTGTGTATGAAGCCACTGATACTGAAATCAAAGGGAGACTTTGGTGTTTTTAAACCTAGACCCTATTTTCTCATGTTATTGTGTCTAAGTGACTAATGGAGACAACAGTTTTTGAATTTGGTCCAAATTTGAGAGAGACCACTCCTGCCGCAGCAGAGAAAGGGGCTTCAGTGTAATTCCTACAGGCAATTGGGCACTGTCAATTTACGTCCATTATAAGAGAAATTCAACGCTTTTACTTACCTTTTGCTGTTTTGGTCTGTTTGTTAGTGTGTGTAACCAAGTCTCTGTAATGGGCAAGTCTCCATCTGAAATCTTGGGGACTTTTTCACCTGGTCAAAATCAGCTAAATAATCAGTCATGACACTAAATATCTCTTAGATAACGCAAACTTATTCCTTTCTTCAGCTCTCACTAACGTTTCCACCGTTGCTTTTCCTGCAACAAGTCACTCTTGCAAGATTTTAGAACAAGACTTCTTCTTGAGTTAGAATTAAATACAATAACAGATAAGTGAAAGGTAAAGAAGAACATTTAATTTCTCTGCAGGGTCTTTTGTAATGTTGTCAGTCACCTCTAATAACAAACCGAGCCTGTCAGTATGGACATAAATTGAAGATGCACAATTGCCCATAGATTTAACATTGCAGCCTGTTTTGCCCCTGTGGTTGCAGCATTCTCCCTCAGTACTAGACCAGTTTTAAGACATTGTTGTCTACATTAGTCACTTAGACATGAAAACATGGGAAAACAGTGTGCAGGTTGGAAAATACTGAAGTATTCCATCAACACATCATACATTCAATTCACATGAGGACGAAAAAGTAATTCTGTTTTTAAATTACATCCAACTGATATTTATTATATTGGGCTGTCTTTAGGAGAACATTCTTAGCATTAACAATCACACACAGTAAGGACCCTGTGGGATAGTCACAAAAGATCTTTTTTTTTTTTCTTTGACTGGGACTTCACTTTTGATTAGACTGGTATGCTGATGATTGGATTTTTCTCATTTAAAATGTGTGGCAAAACTCTGACTGGGAGACGGTAAAGTTAAAAACTGCATGCAATCCAAAGTACTGCCTAATGACAGATGTCTTTACTCTCTCTGATCTAGCATGAATGCTTAAGAGCTTTTCTTTTTTTGACCAGATAATTTCATGAAGATTATGGAGAGAGATGCAGAAGACCGGAGAGTAAGGAGGATTGCAAAAGCAAAAAAGGCCACTGGTGTGTTATTCTGTGTTCCTTAAAGATGTTGTTGGAGGTAAACAGTTGGCTCTACTTGCTGCTCTGTTGGGCCAACAATTCATCCTTTTAAATGTTTTACTGTTTGTGTCACTGCAGCGCTCAAAGAAAAGGGGAATGAAGCTTTTGCTCAAGAAGACTATGAAACTGCTGTGAAGTATTACAGCGATGGCTTGGCTGAACTACGGGACATGCAGCCATTGTACACCAACCGAGCACAAGTGAATATCTTCAGCTATGTTTTTCATGTTTTTAAGGAACAGTGTAAGATTTAGGGTGATTTAGTGGCACCTAGTGGTGAGGATTGTAGATTGCAATCAGCTGAAACTTCTCCCAGTTAGGATTCTTTCATTGTTCAGATAGTTTTCCCCAGGAGCTGAATTATCCACAGAGGTCTTGTCCTCTCCAAAACAAGTATTTTCATGTTACAAATCAGTATTTCTCTGATACTGTTCGGCTTGTTGGAGACAGGCCTCTAGCTCAGCACCTGCTAATGTGTGCTCACCTTTTTCTCTGATAACTTAAGAAATATCGACAGAGGTTTCTTCCTCTCCAAATCAAATGACCTAGTGATTTAAACAAACACACAAAAAAAGCCTGAATAAAGCAGTTTAGAGATAGGGTCTCTATGTGTTAGCCCTGCGATATTCTGGCAACCTGTCCAGGGTGTACCCTACCTCTCGCCCAATGTCAGCTGGGACACGCTATAGCCCCCCCCCCCGCGACTACCAATAGGATAAGCGGCTACGAAAAATGGATGGGTATCTTGTTCCATTTCTGCCAATAAAAAAATGTTTAAGGCAAAAGTGACTAAAAACATTTTTGTTCCTCAGACAAAATTGAAAAAGAGCTGCTTTTGTGTGCCTATCACTGTTTTCTATAATAAATGAACCTTTGGTTTCACAGAGGTATTAAAGCAACTTGAGGGATGTCAGCTATTTTAATTCAAGTATGTTTGTAGCCACATGCAATTAAGTTAATTGTACAAACATGTTCCCATCCAAAGATCCCATCATCCCCAGCATCTTAGAGGTCTGCTCTGTGGGTATATTAAAAACCAAACAATGCTACACAACTAATCACATTCTTTACTTTGTGAGGCCATGTTTTTATTTTGTCTGTTTTTGATGCTCACCTACCACCCGTTCAATATTTAAATCTACTTAGGCCTACATCAAGCTGGGGAGGTACACAGAGGCCATCAGTGACTGTGAATGGGCCCTGAAGGTAAGACTCAGAGGAGATGTGTTTGGTAGGAAATGGGTTGGACGGGTTAACGATGGGCTCTGCTCTGTTCTGCAGGATACAGGTCACCAGCAGCTCAGAAATGTTCTCAAGAGAGAACACTGTTTGAAATAGTGAAGAAAAATTAAAATGAATTTTTAGGAGTTCCTATAAATTTGGTAGTTTGTTTGGCGTTATGCTTTCTTCAGGTTACTTAATCAAATGCAGTTTACAGTGAAAAAAAATCTTGAATGTTGAATAGTTGATTTTTGAATTACTGGAACTGTGCTGAAGTGGAGAGTGTCCCTGAAATTCAGTTTGAACATTTCTCTTTTGCTGTGCTAGTGTTAAGCAGAAACATTAAATCACCATTATGTAGGTGTGTTGATGATGAAGTGCTTTAACTAATACACTCCCATGATCATTTTCTCTCTTTCAGTGTGATGAGAGGTGCATAAAAGCTTATCTACACATGGGGAAAGCATACCAGGCATTAAAGAAATATAATGAGGTGAGAATTAGTACCTATCATTACATCTAATAACTCCTTTTTTTCTTTTTTAGACATTGCTTGTGTATGCAGATAACATCTCATCTAACTATAGCAGAAACACTGCTGTATAATGAAAGTTGTATTTCTGGAATAGAGAATGAACATACAAGCAGTCCTAATCTCAGCAATCCTCTGTAAAATCATATTTTCTAAATGGCATTTCAGCCCATTCGGAGGCTTACATGATATCTGGCAAAAATCTTGTTTAATACCAGTATTAATAAAGTTCATCATGGTTTTCTATCTACAACACCCTTGTGTTAAGACACTGCAGTCCTTTGGAGTGACCACATCATATTGATTTTCATTGGTTTTAGAGGTGAATCTCATCATATAACCAGTGATGAACTAAATTCTTCTCTTTTTCAGGCTAGAAACTGCTTTGAAAAGATTGTGGAAATTGAACCTGCGAGGGAGAAGATGGTGACAGGTAAAGAAAATTGATGTTTTTTTTCCAGGGGTAAGGTTTGAAAAAATCTAATGTATTCATGTCCTTAAGTGATAACTGCCCTTTTTGACTATGTCTCATGTCAAACCATTTTCAGGTTTGGTCCACATCTTTTTTCACACCATTCTGTTTTGTGGTTATTTCATGAAATCATTTACACATTGTTGAGAATGGTCTAGTCACATATGCCCCAAATTACAGTTAGAGTGAAGCCCATCAAAGTAAAGAGAAGACTCTCGGTTGTTGTACAGTTGGTTGTCCATGATGTGGTCTCACTGACTTCAGCCCATTTAATTGCAAGGCTTTCATGACAATGTTACGCTCAAAGATATATTATGCAGAAGTTTCCTGAAAAACAATCTATAGAAGTAATTACACTCAATCATCACTTATGACCCAGTGGAAGTTTGTGGCCTGTATTTTCTGTAGAGACTCTGCCCTCTGCCTGTATTTTCTCATTTTCGTTTTTCACTGTGTTCTGGATATTTATGGGCATACACTCTCCTCAGCGCTCAGGTGGGGTCAAGGCTTTATAAAAAGATAACGACTAGGTGACAGACTGGAAGCAGCGGGCATCCAAGAAAGAAAGTGCCAAAAACATATAGTGAGATGAAATATCAAACGAGAGTAAATCCTGGGTTGGCTTTGCCTCTCACTTTCGCTGGCGAGTTTGTTTACAAACAATAACTGACAATCCCTTTAGTGTCCCTCTGTTATTGCCCAGCCAAAGACAAAAGACAATCTTGGTTTCTTCCCAATAACTGGAATTGTGTTTTGCACTACAATTATTGTATTTAAAGTCATCCATCCATACATACATCCATTGCTGGGTCGCAGGGGCAGCAGGCCAAACAAAGCACCCCAGATGTCCCTCTCCCCACCAACGCTTTCCAGCTCCTCCTGGGGGATCCTGAGGCGTTCCCAGGCCAGATGAGATATGTAATCCCTCTAGCATGTTCTGGGTCTGCTCCAGGGCCTCCTATCAGTGGGCTGTGCCTGGAACACCTTCAACGGGAGGCGCCCAGGAGGCATCCTAAAAACATGCCTGAACTTCCTAAACTGACCCCTTTAGATGCAAAGGAGCAGCGGCTCAAATCCGAGCTCCCTGCGGATGTCTGAGCTCCTCACCCTATCTCTAAGGCTGAGCCCAGACCCCCTTCTGGGGAATCTCTTTACAGCTACTTGTATCCAAGACCTCACCCTTTCAGTAATTACCTATAGCTCATGACCATAGGTGAGGGTTGGGACGTAGATGGACCAGTAAATTGAAAGCTTTGCCTTCTGGCTCAGCTCTCTCTTCACCACGATGGTCTGGCACAGTGGTGGCATCACTGCAGATGCTGCGCCAAACCACCAATCCATCTCACGTTCCATTCTACCCTCACTCATGAACAATACCCTTGAAATCCCTTGATTAAGCCAGCTATAAACTTGCTAGCCCGCTTAAAGTTGCTCTGTACCAAGATAAATGTTTGGTCAGAACTGAACCTTCTGTTACCTTGTGGCTTTCATGCATATCTACATAATTATGCAGTCTCTTTGCTATTGTCACATGTGATGTGACATTACATTTCAAATACTTAGGCAGCAGACCTAATTACCTAAGGTACTCAGGTAGTTCATGCTTGTGGCAATACTACTATAAGAATTTCAGTTCACTCTTCTGTGAAAGTTAAACTTCCATTACTGCTGTGGAATAGCTTTCTGTCAGATCACAGTCTGCTTTCTCCTCTTCCCTCCTTTATCTCCTTTGTTTTCTCCCCGCAGAATACCTGACCCAGGTAGATTTGGAAGAGGCAAGAGAGAGTCAGGAAATGAATGCGATGCAAGAGTTTGACAAGGGAGAGGGGAATGCCACAAGAGTGCCCCAAGTGCTGGGGAAGCTGTCAAAGCCCGACCAGATTCCCTTGTACTACTGTGGAGGATTGGAGATTCTGTCACGAGCAGTTACTGACTGTGAGTGTTCTTTTGGGAGAAGTTTTGCACAATTATCTTTCTCTTTTAATCTCTTTGTGCCCACTCTGACTTCAATAACTTGCTTCACTGGTCCACCGACTGCATTTCTCGGTTCTATGGCTAAAGTGATCAGAAAAAGATCAGCCTTCAAAATAGGAAGATCATAAAGACTTGAAGGAAAAAAAGGAGTGTTTACTCACAGTGAACATTTTAGAACACAGGTGGAGCAGGACTGTAAAAGCTGCTTGTTTCATGTCTTGTCCTATGACAAAGGAAGAGAGTGTTGAGACCTAACGCTGTCTATCACTGATCATTATCTCTTTATGCTGCATTTGCTTGTCACAGCGAGCAAATTTGCAATATTGAGTATAAAACCACACTGAAAGAGCGAAACATCATTGCTGCACGGTGTGGTTAGCCATTGTGGAGAGCATAGGTATATATACCATAACACTACATACAGTGTTGGGTAAGGGTTACTTTAAATCAAAGTACTTTACTGCGTTACTTTCTAAAAAAGTAACCAGTTACTTTACTGCGTTACTCCCTGAGTAAAGTAACTAAATTACTTTAAAAGTACTTCCAACGTTACTCCCTGAGAAAAGTATCTCAAGCACTTTTAAAGTACTTTTGAGTGTTCTACATTTCCTATTGGGTAATGGACCACAGGGCGCTAAGCCTACATTTTTTTGTCGCCAAAATTAAAGTTATGGACCAGTTGCCCTTCAATGAGATCCAATTCTTCCATCGCAGCCGTCACTTTGACCAGTAGAAACACAGAACGATCTGCTGCCGTAGACAACTGTATGACAACAACACCCCAGCGTTTTTAATATTTCCTCTAGGGATGTTACCACACAGAGTAAAAGGGGGAAATGATGGTGTGAAACAGCAGAGACACTTTGTCAACCCGCTGAGTTAATGTTACTGTCATTAGCATCAAGCTAGCAAACAATGGTACATCCTCACGGTTGGACATAAAGTAATAACATTAATAAATAGCAGCTGGGCTTTTACTCACCACAACTGCAGAGGCTCCCAGCTTCATTTGAAACAAACTACATTATAGACGGTCCGTTATTTATTAATCCCTCTGTGTGTTTATATATTTATTTTTTATCCGAGCCGTTGTCTTTATAAAGTTAACATATCGCACCGTCATTTCAAACTCAACACTTGTTTCAAATTAAAAGCCCCTTATAACCTCAGCTGAGAGAATTCCTCCATTTTCTAAGTAGACTTTTATTCTGAAACATTTGTCAGAACTTCCTGTGGAAGATACAGTAGCTTGATAGTTTACATATGCACTTCAAATGTAGCTCCTGCCATCTGCTGACGCTTTTAGGTGACTACAACAACATGTCGGCTGGCACATGAACTTATACAGTCTATGGAACAGACACAGTTCTGGCAGTGACTCAAATAATAGTCAAAGTAATAAAAACAGGACAAGAATAACCCGATGACATCACACACTCCGTGAAAGACGACCGGGGATAATTGGTGAGTACCAGCATGTAGCGTGTACCAGGCATAATGCAAGTCCTGAGTCTGAAATATGTCTGTCAGCGAGTCCTACTCCACCTACTTAGACTCCACCGTAGACAACGGCAGCATTTCTCCGACCACGTAGCAAGCCACAAGCTCTGTGGCTTCTTTCAGACTGATAGGTTTAACGTTATCTCCGTTATTAGAACCAAATGACAGCCGTTGCTGTTTCGGAGCTAAAGGACCAGCGTCCTAAAAGTAACGGAAGTAACTAATTTCTTGTTTGAAACAGCAAACTAACGCGTTAGGTTACTTGTTACTGCAACGAGTTACTTTGTAACGCGTTATACCCAACTCTGACTACGTATGTAACACTAGGAAATGACAAACATCATAAAAATTGCTGTGCAAAACAACTTTTTTAAATTTTTATTCCCTTATCAAATCAATAAAAACAAGTTGTCTGGGGCATTCGTGGCTTAGAGGTAGAGCAGGCGCCCCATGTACAGGGCTGCTGCCGCAGCGGCCCGGGCTCGACTCCAGCCTGTGGCCCTTTGCTGCATGTCACTCCCTCTCTCTCTCCCCCTTTCACACTTGTCTGTTCTATCAAATAAAGGCTAAAAATGCCCAAAAAATATCTTAAAAAAAAAAAAAAACAAGTTGTCTGTTATTTGCCAATGCCTGCAGATGAGTGAAACCTCCAGTGCAGATGTGATTTGATTTGTGATCTGTCTTTGATCATATCAAGATCACAGATTAGCAGAATTAGTCATTTCCCTGATGTGTCAGTGATGATGTAATTTGGTTTGCTGAACCACTGAATGGGCTGTTCCAAGCCAGCAGTGTCAGCTGTTCCGTGATGTTGTAATGAATAATGTAATTTTAAAATGAAATTAATTACATCAAGACGTTGCAAGGTAGGGTTCGTCGAGGGTTCTTTGTAAGATTAAGAGTTGTATTAAGGAACCCCTTTCACCCAAAGATGCCTTTTTTGAAGAAAGGGTTACTTAATGGTTCTATGTAAGACTAAAGCCCAGTCCAGACCAAAGATTTGCGACGAGACCAGTTGAAATAGACAACTACTTGCAATGCACTGTTCTGCAATGTTCAAAAAACCTGCCGGTTCGCACAAATGCAACTACATGAGACAATGTATCATTACTATGCAACAACTCTCTGTGCTTTAGCTTTTCAGGCTTATCTTGTGGCTTAATATAATTTGGAGCCTCTTAAAATATGAATGAGGATAGTGATTGTGAGATACTGGCAACACCTGCATTTGTAGTAGTGATGAAACGACGAAAACCATAAAACGAGAGCACATACAACGAGGAGCAGCAGCGACCCATCGTCCAACACTGGCACACCAAACTCCTTTGTCTCTGTTTCCAACTCAGCTGCACTATTGCAATAGTAAAGGCTATTCACAACATCTAAAAACCCTAAAAACTTGTTTGTGAACCATGATTGTAGTAGGTCACACTGGCCTCAGAACGTTAGGAGCCTCATAAAGCCCAATGCTGCTGAATGTGGTTCTCATGGCCCCAGGCTAACCTGTTCACCTAAGACCATGAGTACCATGACTATTTTTAGCCCTCCTGGTGGGTTCTAGGTGAAACCCTTAAAGTTTAAAAGGGTTCTTGGTACATCACCTTTATAAAACGTTCAAGCAGGAACCAAAAAGGGTTCTTTTTTGCCAACAAGCCGAAGATTCCTTTTTGGTTCTTATCAGCACAGTTATTTCTTCAGGTGTACAGTACTGGGTAGGCAGTGTTAGTTGTTTGTGGTGTTGAGAGGAGGTTTAGAGGGGCGTTGATATGGGATGACAGCAAACACTATTAAGCCTTCTGGGGCTGTCTTGGGTGCAATTTAATGAAACACCTGTGATGGCAGGTGTCTGTTCCATAACCTCAGTGGCATACCTGCACACATCCCTGTCAGATTTAGAGTAGGTAGCTAGTGATTGGTGGTACCTGTCTGTTGGCTTTATAGATTTATGACAGCGTAGCTTAAGGTCCTCTAGATGGACAGGGGCCCTGGAGCATACCAGGTGTTACCGATAATTATATATATTTTAGGGTGTTAGAGAGTTGTTGTCAGGGGTTCCAGAATATTTGGCAACATCCCTGATCAAGAAAATCAGCAAATAAAACTTAGCTGAAAAAGAGCATTCGTCTGCTTTACAGCTGTTTTTCAAAGTACCGCTAAAAACAAGAAACCACAAATCTGATACTGCAACATGATGAAATAAATTGTTCCAAGTGACAAATTATATCAAGCTTTGGCTTAGATCAAGCACAATGCTTGTTGCTCAGCATTTCAGATGAATGGAACCAAACAGGTGAGGCAGAAACATGCCCTTACAGCCTTTTCTTCTTAGCATGGAAAAGATCATTGTAATCTTGTGCTTTTGGAAAACTTGTTGGGCATAAGATATTGCAAAATATTTGTTTACCAAGTCCTCCACTGTATGAAAAAGGGCCATTGTCTACAAGCAGCAGCTGCTCTCCACCAGGTTGTTCACCCCTCCTCTGTCAGCTGTTGATATTTTTGTAATGTTTTTGACCCAAGAAATGACTTTGAAACTCCACTCTACTGATATAACTCTTTTTAGCTATTGCCAAAAGGCTGAAATTGCTGCTTTTGTAAAACAACCTAGCAGCACAATTCATCAAGGTCAATGGCTCTCTCAGGAGTATTTATTTTGTTATATTTCAGCTAAAAAAAGAAGCTGTAAAAAAAAGTAGTTCTGACATGTCCCTCCTCATCGCTGCTCTCATTCAGGCCTTGTGTAACATCAGGTACTTTGATCACACAGCCAAGACTGATGGAATCGACTGAGTGAAACTTTAAGCTTGTCCTTCAGTAAACTATAAAACTATAGAAAGCCAGCATCACTGTGTAATGCTAACTCCCTATTATTGTTTTAACTGGTACCACTGTTTGTAACACACCATATTCTCTTGGACTGGTTGTCCACTGCACAATCATGGCAAATATAATATATAATATCTTATCCACTCACTCTTTTTTCTTCATCTAGATGAACAAAAGTGTTCTGTCAAATGATATAATGCCTGTCCCACAGTGCCATTCAACGGAAAAGGGCAAAACTTACATAACTCACAACTGAAAGGATCTCAGCAGGGCTGACATTACAGGCTTTCTTCCCTCACTACCCTGCTCTACTTTCTGTATACTGCGTCTCATTATAAGTGGAAAATAGACCATTCCTCACTGTACCTTCCTCTGTCAACATATTTTATTTATTCTTTTCTCTTGTGCCCTTGACGATAAACCAGTGAACAAGGAAAGCTAAACTAAAAGCGAGAGGTGTTGTGTTTCTCTGAAAGCCTGCAGCTACCTGGTGATGATATGTAGTTTTCTGTCTTCTTACACTATCTAATGTTCTCCTCTAACAGGTACAGGCCAGACCCTTTTCAGACTGAACAATGGCTTTAGTATCATCAGCAGCAATGACATGGTGAGGAGGTAAGGAGACCAGAGGGAGAGTTAGCTGTCAGCCCTCAGTGGAGCTTTGACAGATGGACCCAGAGACAGGGGCATACAGAGACAATGACGGACTAAACTAGAGAGATCATTCTCCGCCCTCTCTCTCCCTCTCTCTGGTTGTTTGTGTGATAGCCCAAAGAGGAAAAAGATGATCGCACTGAGGATTGAGATGAGCAAAGGCCTTGTGTTTTGTCCCTGAAAGAGGGGTGTTTAGTACAAGATACAAATTATGACTCCCTCATGTCAGATCAGTAAGGTTATTATTAACTTGTCATGCACTTTCCATATTGTCCATTGTTAGCACTGTCATTATTGAAGTCAGAACACAGTGTCCTGAAAATAGAGTGTGAAGAAATTGCAGTCTGAGCTTGATGAGAATAGCCAACAAGGATAATGTTATGAGCCAGATGCAACCAACTGAAACCTATGTGAGCCATGTCACTGTTGCCTGCTATAGAAAATCCCAAATTAATAGTTAAAGAAAAAAGTGGAAAAGGGTCTGAGAAAATAAAAGTTTTTCATGGCGCTCCCTGGTATTAGACCCACACGTTGCCAAACAAGAGAAAGAAACTATTCTATTGAAGAATAAAAAACATGACTGTAACCTTCAGCCTGCAAGTAGCAGCACATACAAGCTTCTTCAGGGCAGAAACTACAGTGATATGTCAGTTGCAAACACCATAGTGGAAAAAGGGAGGACTTCTATAATGACACTGATGGCCAAGTGGCTGTTCAACACATCTCTCAATGCTCAATCACACACTCGCTGCAGCAAACTATGGAATGTGTAAACATGTGGATTGCACATACATACTGTATGTTATGTGGAATGTAGGGCAGTGCAGGTGAAGCCCATGGGGTTTCTGTCTTGGTTGTTTTTCTTTTGCTACTTGAAAATTGTTGCCTCAAAATGTCAGTTTGAATTTGATTGATCATTCAGATCTACGCGTAAGGTACCTACATTAAATGTAGATAAATGGAAGGGCACTGTTCATTATGATGATTAAGTGTAGTATCAGTATGCTCACAAAACATTTGTTATGCCTATTGCACCTAATTTTCTTGCTGTAGCTATACTGAAATGCATTTTCTTCGTTCATTAGAGTGCACTTTGGTAACTCAAAATGGGGCCTTGCTGCTGCACTAAGTTTGCTTAATATCCATATTAAATGAAATGGCATCTTGCTTTTGTGAAATGCATTGAATTGCTTCCTGTGTCTGGTATAATCACCAAATATTTGACCACACCTAAATCTTTGAGATTTGTCACGTCTTATATTCTCTGTGTAGTTTTAATTTTGTTTCCATTCTTTGTGTTTTGTGGAGACACACTTTTGTTAACAAATTTAATTAATTGAAAGAAATATTTTGAATTTGATTTGTATTATGTCAGCTAAAAGAGAACAGAGCTAATTCTATTGTGTTTTATCTTCTCTACAGTTACCTGTTGCAGGAAACAAAGGATCCAGACAGCCAGGAGTTGTGTGTCTCTGTGCTGAAATTATGGAGGATTATTTGTATTGGAAACGGTATGTAGTTAACTGAGTTACTCTTCATTTTCTGTCTGTGTTGATGTAGTAATTTGCTCTCAGTTAGCAGGAAACAGGGAAAAAATTAAATAACATGCTAATATAATCCTCTGTTGCGCTGTGTCATTACTGGGCAGCTTTTCAATGTGACACTTAAGCCATCCCTTTGTCAAGCCTTTATTTGCCTTTGAATCGCACAAGCTGTGCGAGCTCCAGCACGTCAACTGTTTGCACCAACTGTGATCGTTTATTTACTCAACTATTTACATGTCTGTGTGTGTTAATGCCACATGAACATCAAGCATTTCTTCAGTATCAACGCTAGTATAGCAGCTTAGTGTTCATGTAATGTTGTTTACAGACAAGGTTGTTGTGATTTGGGGGCACAACAGGGTACTGTGTCAGGTGAGCTCACATAAAGTGTTTTCCTTTTGCTTTCAGATGAAAACCAGAAAATGTTGATGGCATGCCCAGTCGCCAGAGAGTCCACTGTTTCCTTGTTAACATCAGGGCACGTTGCAGTGCGGAAAGAATGCCTGTTGTTACTATCTTTATACTCACAGACGCTACATGGCAGGAGCTTGGCCATTGACAACCTGAATGTGCACATGTAAGACATTTTTTTTTATGTTGCCATTAGATGCAATTGATGAGAGCAACAGCATAGCTTGAGGCAAAATATGCTCATGTGTAGACAGAGATGGCATGTTCAAATGAATCAAATTGTTTATAATACTTTTCCCTTTACCTTCGCCCATCCCCAGTAAGTATTAAAATAATTTTGCATTTCACATTCTCCCCTTAATGAAATCAGAATGGGACTTTAGGCCAACCTTGGGCCACATGTTTGTGATTGTCAGTGCAATTGCCATTTCTATTTAATGAGATTTCAAGGAAGTTGTATTCCATTGCTCTGGGACACAGTATTAAAAATTATAGTGGGCCAAGTGATTTCTCAGGCAGGTCTGATAATATCTGAGCTGCAGCTGATTGGATTTCTAGAAAATTAGGAAGAAATATTTTTGCTCTTCTTTGGCATTATTATCACACCGATATGTTTTTTTTTAATCTCTGTCTCTCTTTCTCTACTTTCCCCCTCTCTCTTTCTTTATCTTGCCCTCCTCGAAATCTGGATCTAAAGGTTAGTGAGGAACCTCATGGCATGCATCTCAAAGCCAAAGCAGCAGCAGGAGAACACAGTGGTCAAGATTCTGGAGAACTTCGCAGCAGAAAACAAGTATTACTGATACGCAGCTGAACAGAAACACCAGAGTTATTCTCCTCACATCATAGAAAGTGATTCATTTTATCTCTGGATGAGGAAATACACATTTTGATATACACTGCAGAATTCAGAATACGACTCAACAGACAATCTATTATCCTCCCATACATCATATCCATATATATGTTAAAGGCACTTCAAAATCCATTGTCGCATTATGTCAGAAGGGATCCTGTGAGGAATGGAAAGTGTGGCATCTTTAATAATTCAACATGTGCTATCTAAGTGTTAATGTCACTTGAAGTCAAAAGGCAGTTCTCAACCTGTTTTCCTTTCCGGCACCTCATGAAAACAAGACATGAAAGGACAACCCAGGCTCGCCAACACAGCGGGAAATAAGTCGAGGTGTCAAGCAGTGAAATGGGGAGATCAATTTTCCCCTGTCTATAGCTCAAAGAGAGTTACTCTACAAAAATGTGTTATATCCTACAGAGGTTTTCTCTTCAGCTGAGAAGCTCAGACGGTTCAATGTTGGGCTTTCAAAAGTATTTTTGTCGAAAAAATTAATATACAGCTGCTCCAAAAAATTCCATACTTATTTGAAATCTCACTAATTGCTCCTGGTAGAATATTTACAAATGGTATAGACATTTGCACACAAGCTTTTATGTATTTTACACTACTTATACATGACATACAGCATATTTAATTATTAGGGTCCAGGAAACTAAACTGCCAGGACACTTTTCCTAATCCTAGGTATTCTTACTTCCGAGGAAATCATACTTCCCGTGGGTGAAAACTCACCAAACTTTGCACAAAGGTCCAGTCTCATGCCAGATATCCTCAGCTGTAAACTCAAGCCAATAGTCCTGATGGTGGCACTACAGCAAGTGTCTAAAGTTCAAAAATTTGAAAATTCATAACAAATCAATCATACGTGCTACAACTTCACAACTTTCATCAAACTGTAGCCCCAATACTGAAGAAACTTTTGTACATTTAAACCTATTAAACATTATGAAGGTCATCACTCTGGTTTTTTTTTTTTTTTTTTTCAAAAACTGTAAAACTTCTTAAACCTATCTCCTCCCACAATTTTTGCTCAGTTGACACAGAACTTGCTACAGAGCATCTTCAGACTGTCCTACAAAAACTATGTTTCTCAGATTTTTGATTTATCAAAAATTGAGCCTACAGTGCATCAAAATGTTTGACTGTAAACGGTACTGTAAACATATATACATGCAAATTCTTGCTAAATAAATCTTCAATGTTCATGAAAAAAATGACAAAATTCTAGAGTCATGGTAGATGGTGTGTGGCAAATTTCAGAATTTTATCTCAAAAACTAAATTTTTGACAGCATTTTGAATTTTGGTCTAATGTGAACAATTGGAGTCAATATAAAAATGGCAATTTTAAACATCAGTTTTTCACTTATGGAGCAAATCAATCATTGTTACAAACAAATTACCAACATCTCCATGCTGTCTAGATACAATGTGTAATTTCAGATTTTTGTCTTAGTAACTGAATTTTTTACAGTGGTTTCAAATCTGCCTTTCCATGCATGGATGGCTGCTTTCCTACACAACAGTGAATGGTTTACTCAATTTGTGAAGCCACTGTTGAGTTGCTACTTGCCAGTTAGCTCAGAGCGGTAGATGACCGTCATAGGTTCCAGAGGTTGCGGGTTTGAGCCTCAACTGATGCAGAATCCACATTGTAATGTAATCATCTTCCTGTGCTCCAGTTTATTGCTTAGAATTGCCTGAGCCTGACTCATCGATGTTCAGCATCTTCAAGTCTTCTCCCTGCTAGAAAATCTGCCTTCTCATGCTTGAAAATAAACCAAACTTTGCACAGAGATCCAGTGTCAATACTTTAGTGTGAAACCATCTGAGGCTTCTCACTTTGCACATAGCTCAACTAGTTAAACATCAGTTTTTCACTTATGAAGCAAATCAATCATTGTTAAAATAAATTACCAACATCTCCATTAGGGCTGGGACGCCGCGTCGACGTCATCGATGACGTCGACGCAAAAAATACATCGACGCAAAAACTGCACGTCGATGCGTCGTCACTCAGAATCAAAAAATGGAGGCGGCCGCGGCATCGAGTAGCAGCGAGTCGGGGGAGAAGAAAAGATCTCGTAATAGGATGTCAAAAGTATGGGAGTACTTTACACCTAAAGGTAACGATTCGGTGGTCTGTGACCTGTGCAAAATAGAGATGGCATACCATAAAAGCACTACCGCGATGCACCAGCACCCGGGAGCTGCTTGTGTGGAGGAGAAGACACTGTAAGTTTTCAACTTTTTTTTCTTTCCTTGTTTGCAATGATTAACCCCGTCATTCATCCAAACCGCACCACGTGACTTGTGCATTCATCCAAACCGCACCACGTAACTTGTGCTCCAGCCTCGCACACACAGAACATGTGCCCACTTAAATACACACACACACACACACACACACACACACACACACACACAGACACAGCTGCTGTTATTTTTTATTTATTTTATGTTTATATTTTGATTCAGATTGTGTTTTTTGCACAACAGTTTTATTTATTGAAAGAAATTTTTATTTATTTTATTATTCTTTGTAAAGTCCTGGGAGCTCCAGTAACTACTAAAGGTTAAACTACTGTTCACTTAACTGTAATAGGCCTAATACTTGAATTTATTTGTTATTTATTTCACAGATTTAAATGATTAGGCTAAGAAAGTTTTATTTTATTATTTTTTTATTATAGGATTCCATTGCACTACAACTGTGTGCACTTTATTGTTGTGTTGTTCAATACAATTCATTTTTGAACTTGATAATAAAAATATATTGGAAAGAAGAAATTTGTGTTTTATTCATGGAGATAAATTAGCATTAATTGCTATATACGTCAAATTATGGGGAGATAATCGATAATGGAATCGAAATCGAATCGAATCGGATTTAAAAATGAATCGTTAGATTAATCGATGCATCGAAAAACTATTTTCTAGATTAATCGATTACAAAAATAATCGTTTAACCCAGCCCTAATCTCCATGCTGTCTAGATGCAGTATGTGTATTTTCAGATTTTTATTTTGATAACTGAATTTATTTACAGTGGTTTGAAATCTGCTTTTCCATGCATGGACGGCTGCTAAACCTGCACCTCTGGCTTAGTCAATTTGTGAAGCTACGCATGAATTGTCACTGACTAATTAGTTCAGTGAGATAGAACTTGATCCTTAGTCTCAGAGGTTGTGAGTTCAAGCCTCAGCTGATGCAAAAGGCAGATTGTGTTGCTAAATTCCTAAATGTTTTCCAATTCTTCTGCTTGTTGCTCAGAATTGCCCAAAAATGCCCGGACCCGACCCATCGCTGCGCAGCAGCTATAATTGTTTTTAGTCCTTCTGCCTTTTACTGCCTTTGATGTGCATAACTGTGAATCTTCAGAGAAATGACAATCAATGCTGTTTTGAAGTGCAATAACCAATTAGCCTTTATGACTCAGACAGTAAATGGATTTTTCAGAAGTAGATATGAGTATGCGGTGGTTTTTGATGCAGTTGGCAGTGATTCTTATTCTGGTAGTTTTGCTGAGTTGTGTCATGCTCGACTGTGAAGAACTTAAATGGAGGCTCAAATTTGACTTTACTCACTTCCTCCTCACTCTTGCATGTTTATTGTAATACAACGAGTGTGATGTTGTAGTGCTACTTCTCTTTAATAGTGGAACTATTGTGTGTATTTATACATATATACTGATATACATATTATGTTTATTTTACATGTACAGTAGAAAAATTTTCATATTTTCCTACAGATTTTGCATTCAGTTAAGGGACGTGGTCACAGACTCTGTCATTGTGCCATTTACAACAATACTGGTAAGTTATGTACATACAAAGTTTTATACTAAACAGCATGCATTGAGTATGTATAGATATGTTTATGTGCATGTTTCTAGGCAAATGTACACATCTGTTTTCTTCATTTTCCAGAGAAATATCAGCGAGTCCAATCAGCTTCTTCTTGCGTCACTGATATCAGCTGTTGGCTGCCTGGCTCAAGATGATGCCATCCGTAACAGTTTTGCTCATGATCCGGAATGCTGGAAGGCCTTTGTGGTTGCCATTGTAAGTATGATATATGTATGTATATATATGTGTAAAACTCGTACGTATGCAGATTATGAGTGTAGAATTTATTGGCTGTCATTACAGAGGCAATGCAGTGCATTTGAATACAAAGAGGTCATTTACCGCATGCTCGGTTTGATCATCAACCTTTCAGCTCTTCCATCTCCAGTCATTCAGGTAAAACATGTGATGTGTGATATTTAATGTGTGATGTTTACTTTACCTGGAGTGGAGGTTCAGTTATGCATGAATATGTTAGGAGTACAAAAATGATCTTCTACCTTATCTCTTCTTATCTTCAGAGTGGGCACTGTACCAACTGATAATATGATAATATTGTACCTTGAGCTGAGTTGTTGTTCAGTGTGGGGGCCACTGTGACAGATTTATATGTTTTTAGAGAAAATTTGCTTCATAGCACTTTATAATATGCATTGGAAAGATATTATAAGCCAACGGACAAGGGAATAAGAGGGGACAATTGTGTGAACTATGATGTGCCACCTATCCAGAGGTGAAATGCATGTGAAAATTGGTTTGGCTACATTTCCATCTTCTTATTCTAGGAACAAGCTGTTTCACTCAGCGACTGCTGCCTGGGCCTGCTGAGGGATAGTGACGGAGGAATCATAACTGTGAGAGACCCTTACTTGAGCACTACACTACAGTACTCAGGAGGGTTGAAAAACCCCAACACATCATACATGTAGCTGCTTTACTGTATAATAACTAACCATTAGGTTTTCATGTTTGGCTGTGTTGGATCAAGACCGGTTTGAAAAATATTAGTACGCTTGTTAAAAACTTTGTTTTGTTTGTTTTCCACACTTTCATACATCCTATGTAGTATAAAACCATCTTTTCAGGTAACTAGATGAAAATGTAAGGCGTTCGTCTTGGATAATGCGCCTTTTCTAGGGCTTGTGAGCTCACTCTCAATGAGCCTCATAAGGTGGTAACAGCAATTTACAATGTTCAGAGGATCCTATATATGTGTCATTACCGTTGATTAAAACTCCAGCTCCAGGTGCTGTTGTCTGTGCTAATGGCTGTTATAGCAGTTTCACACTGATTATGCAATGCCCTCAGAGTCACACACTTCCACCCATCTGTCTCCTTACTCTGTTTTAGTGCTCACTCACTACATGGCTGGAACTTTTTCTTCATTGTCACCTTTGTCAACATCCTTTTTCTTTTCAATTTCTGCTCTGTTTTTTCTTTTCTTGTGTTGACCTCACTTCACTTGTGTCTTTAATGCATCATAATGGTTACACCAAAGCCCTGAAGCCCTAATTATTTCTGCTGGGCTGATTTTAACCAGCCAATACATACATCTGCATGTTTCATACATATCATGTTAACGTTTCTGAAGTGACATCATATATGAGCTAAGGTAGAGGCGACAGTGGATGGTGTGTATCCCTGGTGAGACAGCTGCCAAGCTGCAGACTACTGTTTGAGACCAGCAAACAGCAAAACTGGTTGATTTTTTTAGCAAGTCATTGCTGTTTTACCATCAGCTTTTTAGGCTCCATTTAGTGAGGATAGTGCCACGGAAAGCCATTGTTTTTTTATCGAGACATTGCTGCTTTTCCTGTTGGCATTATGCACTCAAATAGGTTATTTTAAGCTAAAACATTTTTTTCAAACCATAACCAAGTAGTTTTTGTGCCTAAATGTAAACACACGTTATCCACAGCACTGTTGAAACTTAAATTTTCAATGTATTCAAATGTTAAATGCCAACTTTTTTTTTTTCTTGCAATTTCTCTCGCTGGTACTGAGGTTTGGAGAGTCTCTTAGCTCTGAGCTTTAGCTTTGCTCTCCACTAACTCCTGAGAAAAATATCTTTATTTTCAGCTCAATTTGTCTGTCTTCCATTTGGTTCTGGGGATGCAGTGCGCAGTGGGTTAATCAGAGCTTATTTTGTGAAAATGGCTGCCTGCTGCTGCTATGAATGTGGCTGATGAGGGCCACAAATAATTCTTTGAAATAACTAATTTGCTCACTAAACGTACTTACTTTGCCATCTTTATTGACTATTTCATACCCTGAAATTACTTTATTTGTGCCCTTGAATGTATGTAAATGGTGGGCATCAAGAGATCCCCCTGCAAGACAACGCAAGCATTCATGTGACCTCTAATTCTTGTTTGCTTCTGTTTTTTTTAAAAGCTATTTTTTGGGCTCTTTTGCCTTTAATGGACAGGACAGGTAAGTGTGAAGGGGGGGGGGAGAGAGAGAGAGGGGATGACATGCAGCAAAGGGCCACAGGCTGGATTCGAGCCTGGGCCGCTGCGGCAACAGCCTTGTACATGGGGCGCCTGCTCTACCCACTAAGCCACCGACGCCCCACTTTGCTTCTATTCTTAAGCTTGTTCTTCTTATCTTTCTTTGTATTATCCTGTCCTTGAAAGGTTCACTATAATTATATGTTCAGTCAGGCATGTTTTCAAGCAACGCCCTCACCATCTTTATAATGGACTTTCTGCACTTTTGCAGCAAGCACCTCACATAACACTGACGGATTTCACGTTTTCTCCTTTTCTCCACCTTCTTCCAACTACACTCTCCCATTCTCTTTGTCTCTGGTAGGAGCTGTTTTTCTTTGGTTTTCTGTCTCCTAACTTTCCTTCCCCCACAGAAGTTTTCTCTTGATACTTTGCTATCCTGTTTCTGCTCTTCTCTATCTTCTGTTATCTCCCTTTCTAATGCCAACATTCTTCTTTGTCCTCCAGAGAGCCACAGGCGTGCTAAGCACTGTTCTCCCTCAGTCCCTTGAGGCTGTTCAGCATGTTATTCAGGGGGATGTGGTCTGTGCCATGTGCCGACTGCTGAAGGTACATACTGTAAGTGTACAAACAGCCAAGTATCTATGAATACATTAACTCTTGTATTTTACTCATGGAATGCTCTTTTGTTTGCCAAACATCCTAATTATTCCTGAACAGCCCATGAAGACATATACCCTTACACATTAACTATCATCATGATGTGGAGACATGATGAAAACATGCTCATGAAAAAGCAACTTATTTGTAAAAAGTATTAATCTCTCTAATTTGGATCTATATTTGAGGTAATAGTGTATGTGTTCTATTACTAATTTGTCAAAATCAAAGAAAAACAACAAATCAGAAACATACAAAAAGATGACTGTAACCTGGGAGTCATCTTTGACTCAGCACTGTCTTTCGGTGTCCAGGTGGATAAAGTTGTGCAGTCCTGTTTTACCGAACTGAGACATTTAACAAAAATCAAGTCATTTCTTTCCCTTGCAGATTTAGAATAGGTGATCCGTGCTTTAAGATAAGATAAGACTTGACTAGACTTTATTAATGCAATGCCCTCTACTCTGGCATCAACAGACATAACGTCTGAGACTCTAACTCATACAAAATACTTTGTACTAAGCTGGTACTAAGACAGTTTACCACATCTCACCAATCCTTGCCCTTCACTGATCACCTGTGAGTTTAAGAACTGATATTAAGATTTTACTGCTTGTTTTTAAAGCCTTGAATGGTCAAGCTCCTGCCTACATCTGTGATCTGTTAATTTCCCATGAGTCTGACCACTGCCTGAAATCCTACCACGAGGCTCTTCTCATGGTTCCAAAATCTTGAATTGTCACTAAAGATGACGGAGCTTTTACTGTCCGAGCCCCTCAGCTGTGAGACTCCTTGCCAGAGGACCTTAAGCAGACAAACTCACTGACCTCTTTCAACTCTCTTCTTAAAATTCACTGTTACCATTTGGCTTTTTTTAATGGATGGTATTTATTGTTACTTCTTATACCATTTATCCTGTTTTATATGTTGTACATGTTTCTTAGATTTATTATTGCAAAGTACTTTGTAACTCTGTTTGAAAGGTGGCAAAACAATGTGATGACGATGATGATAATAATGATGACGATTATTATTATTATTAATTCCACTACAGGTCAGTCTTTCTGACCACTACAGTAAGTGTTGTCATAAAGTTGGAGTTTACAGATGTTTGTTCAACTTGTCTCACATCATTTTTGATTTATTTCTGTGTCTGCGTACACAGGGAACAGGGCAGACTGCCACTAAGTATGCCATTAAGACTCTAACAGTGTGCACTGCTGCCAGTCACTCAGCACGGGAGAAGCTGGTGAAGTCTGATAAAAGTAAGAAATGATTGACATGTTAGCATTACTTTAAGATGCTCTTTCATTAGTTTATGAATAATATTTTAGGCTTGACCTAATATGCAAATTAAGTGTGTGTATGTGTCTACATTTGTATGCATACTGCATGTATGAGTGCAGTGTGAAGTATATCTGTTGATTTTCATGTCGTTATGTGTTTGTTTGTTCATATATAAGAATGCTATTCTCTTCTTATTTGCTGTTCATTTATCATTCCTCACAGAACTGTCTATTTTACGTCATTTGCTGGGTTCCAGCTGTGATGAGATGGTGTCAGGAAATGCAGCCCTCTGCTTGGCCCACTGCCTTAAATTGGAAGGAATTGCCAGCACCCTGCTGGGCACTGATATTGTGCTGCTGCTGCTGCGCCACGCTGCAGGGGACACTAAGAGGACAGCTGTGCGGCAAAATGCAGCGATTGCTCTGGGGAAGCTGTGTCGATCTGAACCCAGGTGCCCTCTCACCCCGCTCTATAAACCACATGCTGCTGATTACAGTCTAGAAACTAGCCTGAAGGAGCGTTGATAGATGAGATGAAATGCATCAGCAGAATGAGATAATGTGATATTCTGGCTTTGGTTAAAGATATTGGTCAAATGCTCGGGAAATTTATGACTTCTGGTTCACACTGACATGACTATATACATTATATGTTATTAATATATCACACTAATGTGTGACTAACTACACTAATACGCAGTGATAGCCATAACACACCACTTTCTCCCAATAGTTGTGGTTGATTTACTGCTTAGTCATTATTTGATAAGTTGATTGCATTTGTCCATCAAAATTGCTGTCTGTTGGATATATTTTAGGGCTACAAGTGATGTTTTCTTGTTCTTAATATCCAATAATCTGCCAACTAGTTTTTAAAATCTTAAGTTTGTCGTAAAACAAATATTTGAATGTTATTTTGGCCACACCAGGAATTGCAGGAAAGTCCTTCAGGCAGTTGTTCTGACCTCATGGCTTGGCTTTTGCTGACATGCATTGTTAGCTGAGTGATCATTTTTAGAAAGGTGTGCCCTTCCAGATCACATCCAGTCAGTTGAATTAACCACAGGTAGACTTCAATCAAGGTGTAGAAACATCTCAGAGATCATAAAGGGAAATGGGAGGTGCCTTAGCTAAATTCTGTCATAGCAAAGGGTTTGAAAATTTTATACAACAACATAACAAAATTTGAAAGAGGTGATTGGGTTTGAATATTTTCGCGTACTCGTACTTGTCGTCCTCCGCTTATCCGGGTCACGGGGGCAGCAGCCTTAGCAAAGAAGCCCAGACAGTCCTCTCCCCAGCCACTTCCGTCAGCTCTTCCACGGGAACCCCGAGGCATTCCCAGGCCAGCCGAGTGATGTAGTCCTTCCAGCGTGTCCTGGGGCAGCCCTGAGGTCTCGTCCCGGTTGGACATGCCCGAAACACCTCCCAAGGGAGGCGTCCGGAAGGCATCCTTACCAGATGCCTGAACCACCTCAACTGGCTCCTCTCGATGTGGAGGAGCAGCGGCTCTACTCTGAGTCCCTCCTGGATGTCCGAGTTCCTCACCCTATCCCTAAGGCTGAGCCTAGCCACCCTGCGGAGGAAACTCATTTCGGCCGCTTGTACTTGCGATCTCGTTCTTTCGGTCGCTACCCAGAGCTCGTGACCATAGGTGAGGGTTGGAACCTAGATCGACCGGTAAATCGAGAGCAATATTTTCTGAGTTTACCATATACACCTAGGACATTTGGTATCTAAGCCATCTCTCCAGCATCTTATACAAAAACAAAAACTTATACAAAAACTACTACTACGTATTATAGTGCTTTATGTAAGCCACAAGTGTACATTACCTACAGGTTTACAATAACTCCTCTTACATTGAAGGTCCACTGTGAAAGAATTTGGGGCATCTATTGGCACAAATGGCATTATTTCATTATTTTATAATCACCTGAATGTAAGAATTGTATTTTTGTTACCCTAGAATGAGCTGTTTATATCTACATACGGAGCAGGTCCTCTTTAGTCCATCAAGGCCCAGGATGGACAAACCAAACACCGGCTTTAGATAGGGGCATTTGTGTTTTTTCGTTGGCCACCATAATTTTCTTACAAGTTTGGCACACAGGAGATGTTTCAGTTCTGCAACCTACACACCAGACCTTGAACTTCCATAGTGTTTTCATTTAGAAAGGGTTTCATTTTGTACTGCAGTGTAAGATTTAAGTGTGAACAGCTTGTTATTTCTACACTCAAAGATGGGTTAAATAAAATGTGATCACTGAACAACGATGTGGTACTGTAGGCCATCTTCATATAATGTTGCACTGTCCTCAATAATGGAAGAGGGCAGCACCAAACATGTCTATTTGTTCCTAGGAACATTTTCACAGTACCTCCAGGCTACAGAGCTCCGCTGTGACTGTGCTGAAGATGTCTTGATCTTTGGTTCACACTACTGTTGTTTCTATTCAGTGCCAACCCACTGAACACCCTGTCACTGTGTTTTCTTTTAATGAGCTGCTCTCTTCAATTCCAGACATATGAACAAACTTCGAGAACTTCACGGCCTTGAGATCCTGCACTCCTGTATGAAGCTCATCACATGAACCCAGTAACACATTCTGCTTGTCATCAGTTTGGTTCTCCTCTGTGTTCTGTTTTGGGCTTAGACACCTTCCCACCTTTCAGGGAGAACAAAAATTCACTCAAAAACACCAATCCTGGTAGTTACGTTATTCCTTTCCTTTCAAATTCTTTTTTAAAACTTTGAGCATAATTGCTTTTCCAATCGATACCTGTCTTTTTTTAAGTAGTATAGATTTTTTTGCTGTCTTGAGAGTATAAAACTCAAGAATAAGATTCTCCTCTTAATTGCTTCATCTACATAAACAAGGTCGTAAACATTTGAGATGTTCTTGGCTGTCCTTGTTTTTCAAACTCATATGAATTTATGTGGTCAGTTACCATACATAGGTGTGAATGGAGGTGCATGTTCAGTTCATTTTTACCATCTTTAATTGTCTATTATTAGATGAAAACATCAGTAATATTTAATAGCACATTCTCATTTTACAAAGCAAATGAATATATGACAATCCATCCAAGATCACGTATGCAGTGAAACAGAATGTATTTGTTTGGTTCTGAAGGGCGGATATTGATCAGACAGCATTTACATATTGATGTGAGACACAGATCAGAACAATGTATCCCTGTGGTGTTAGGGTTCACAGAGGCTCTTACTCATCCATCTCGAAGGGCATTCATTAATTTACAATAAAGAGGTGTGTTACAGGCAAAGAACTGAATACACTGCTTGCTTAACACTTAGTGTCACTGGCACTTCTGTCCATCATTTATGTGACTATAATCACAAGTTTAAACTAGAAGGGCACTTGAAGACCTCGGCCGTGGCCAATAGTTCAGTCTTTTATTAAAAAGCTTTGTTATCATGTACATACTTTATGTACAAATAACAAATGCTGAGGCTGGAATAATATCATGCACATGGCAGCATGTTCAAGAACAGTTATGAAAACTGTATGTTCGCAAGGATGAAATGTTTTCTTGAGCCAAATTCAAATTTGTGTATAGAAAAAAAATCCTTGTTATGCAAAGCAGTATGATTTGGTGACATAACACTTACACATGTGATGATACAGTTGTACCAGTTCTCCCATGAAACCACCGTGCCTGAGTGCTGCATAATGACTGCACATGAAAGTTACCCAACTGGTATCGTACCTGTGCATGTGGACTGTGATATTGAGTCATCATTTTTGGATGTTTGTCACTTTTAAACTTTGCTTTCAACTACTGGATTTGAAGATGTATGGCATCTACTTTGTCAAGGCCAAATGCCCTATCTCATGACGTAAACGAAAGTAAAAAACAAAAAAGTGTACGTGCCTTGTGGTTCAGATCTGCTCCAAAATGTAATGGGTTCTTCCTTGGCCCGTGCTTCACCTTCCACCAAGTTTCATGAAAAACAGACCAGCAGTTTTTCCTGCGGGCCAAAGACAAACAAACTGATCAGAAAACACAACCTCCTTGGCAGAAGTAATAAAGTGTGTGTCCTAAAGGGTCATTTTACTTCACACCAGCCTTTGGTATATCTCTTATTTTATGGTTCTTCAGGTGTGTGGTTTGTTTATTTTTGGATTTAATATCCAGAATGGGACAGCTGAGTGTATTTATCACTGATTAAAAAAACAAAAAAACAAAAAAAAAAAACTTTTAGCTATGTTTGGATTCTCTGGATAGAAATACCAAAAGGACAGTCATCTCAAAATAAATTTGCATTTTAAATACTTAACAGTTTGGGACCTGCTTGATTTGCATGTCTCACAGAGGTGGCTGTGCCCAGGAATTTAATGCAGCTGTGTGACAACAGCTCGAAACACTCCTTGAATGCTGAGCACAGCCACTATGAGAAGGTCAGAGTTATAACTCTGCTAGCAAAATGTTTGCACACCCACTGTTATGTGGAGTCTAAACTTGGAGAGACAAGTGGAACTGGAATGATGTTTGCTGTTATCTTAGCTACTCTATATTACGAAAAGGTCTGATGGTAGAGGTTGTGGTTTTAGGTGAGTGAGTGTTTTTTGGGGGGTATGTGCATGTATTGTATTGTATTGCCTGCCATAAAAGTTGTTACAGATATCTCAACATCTACAGGAGGACTTAGTGTAAAGAGGACAAAAAGAAAACAAAAGTGTAGACATTCATGATCCTCAAAGGATAAATCCTAATCCTGATAACTTTGGTGATCTCCTGACTCCTACTGGTGCAACCATTAAATTTGGTACAAACGATCATGCTCCCCTCAGAACGAATACAATATAACTTCCGGACGCCGAATACAACTCCTCATCTTGCACCATCTTCAGATGAAAATTTTAATGTGTCCATTACTTTAATTGAGACATAATACTAAAGACCCTCTCATTAGCTTTAGCTGTACTTCATGTTTGGTGTTACTTAGAAACTGGTGTATGCTAAACTAAGATGGTTAACAAATGGTCTCATTAGTGTTAAGCACACAGGTGTGAATGACAGGAAGTGTATTTAATTGCAATTAAATTTAAGCAGAAATGAATTTCAGGTTCTACAAAGTTTCTGTTCCCTACTAATGACTTTGTGATCACTTAAAGAGTAAAAGGATAACTTCAGTAATTTTCACCCTGGACCCTATTTTCTTATTTTTTGTGTGTAAGTGACTCATTAAGGCAAATTTTTGGTCCAGTACCCTGGTGGCACGGTGGTGCAGTGGTTAACGTTATCACCTCACAGCAAGAGGGTTCCTAGTTTGAACCCAGCGTGGGGGAACCCCTCTGTGTGGAGTTTGCATGTTCTTTTCGTGTCTGCGGGTACTCCAAAGACATTCCAAAGACATGCAGGTTAATTGGTGACTCTAAATTGTCCGTAGGTGTGAATGTGAATGGTTGTCTGTCTGTATGTGTCAGCCCTGCCATAGTCTGGTGACCTGTCCAGGGTGTACCCTGCCTCTCGCCCAATATCAGCTGGGATAGGCTCCAGCCTCTCGCGACCCCCAACAGGATAAGTTGTTACAGAAATTAAAGAATGAATGTCCAGCACCAAGTGATAGTGGTGCAGCCGGCAGCTGTGAAACAGGCTGCAGTGTTATCACTTGGAGCAAATATGCCAGTCAATTTACATCCACTGAAAGTTGTTGTTTTTGCCACTGACAGGCTCTGATTGTTATTGTGACATTATGAAGCAGATCCCTACAGGGATAGACTTTTTTTGTTAAACAGTAAGATCCTTTTTGTTTAACCAGAAACAGCCCTGAAATTGCTATCAGCAGTCCCACCAACCTGCATTTAAATAAACAGTAATTTTGTCATTGTAAAGCACACTTTATTCAGAGTTGACAGAAACAAAGCAAAACTCGAAAAACCTTCTTGGTTATTTCAATTTTCCCAACAATTGTAAGCGCTGGTTTGATTAAAATAAACCTTAAATTCGCCCAAATGTAAAAATGTGCTCTCTCTAAGCATGTTAAAATGACATTGTATTTAAATAGATTTAAAAAGCATCTTACTCTTTTACAAAAGTATTGACCTCTGATCCTTTCTATAATGTTGTCAGACACATAATGACAATCTGAGCCTGTCAGTGACAAAAATGAGCATGTTTAGTGGACGTAAATTGGCAGTGCACGATCATCTGCAGTGATTACACTGCAGTCTGTTTTGCCACTGCTGGCTGCAGCCCTGTCATTCAATACTGGACCAGTTTCAAAAATAGTTGTTCTTATTAGTGACTTGGACACACAAACATAGGGGAATAGGTTTCAGTTTGAAGTTACCCTTCAAAGAACAGATGAGAAGGTGTATCCTAATTATTTAGCAATGACATCAGTAATGTTCAATGGTTTATTAATATCATAGTAACATCATAAATGAATAAATCAAACAGAGGCGTTATCCAATATAGATTTACTGCTCCTAACATCTTTCTACCTGTTGGCTACGAGGTACCTGCAGTGGCTGTTAAAGGAACGGTTTCTGAGAAATTTAATCCATGTATAAATGAACTGCAGAGGACAAAAGCTCCCTGTAAGGGATCACACCATCTGTGTGTGTCTGCAAACTACTGATACCTTCTGCTCAGTTGGATTAAACAGTAATAAGAGCACTTATTCACTGGGGCTTGAGTGATTGTAAACAAGACGGAACAGAAATGGGGAGGCTTTACTGTTTCACAGTAGGATTTTTCCTGCTTTCAGGTATGTGCTCATTTTTTGTGTTTATTGTTTTAGGTACAGCACACTACTGGTAAATATTGATCCTTGATAGATAGATAGACAGATAGATAGATAGATAGATAGATAGATAGATAGATCGATTAATTTCTGGAATTTTTTAATATTTCTCAGTCTGTTATGAAGTACACAGCCCTGCAGATAAATGTTGTATTTATCTGCAGTGACACAAAGTGCTGAGGACATTTTTCTGAATTCTCTTTGATTTCTTTTTCACTTGCATCTTAAAGTTAAAATAGTTTAATAGCTATCATGTTCACTTCAAAAGTAAGGCATGCAAGCAGAAATATTTCCAACAAATTTCTACTAATTTTGTGGGATGTCAAAAGAACAGAAATAAACAGCTCCACTAAGTGACAAAGTAAATCTAAGTCTTCTTCCCAGTGTGGCAGACTACTACCTTGTCTCTTTAGTATGTAACATAAAGAAAAAACTAACCGCATACTGCTCTGTTATTATAATTGGTTTCTTTTGCATACCACGCTGTCTTTGATCATTTCTTTTATGTTTTAATATCCTGCACATTACAGGTGTTGTCATCATCTAAATTGATAACTGACACGATGAGACGTGAAATCACCTTCACAGAGTCATTTAAGTGGCAAACCGAAACCGTAAAAACATCTGACTCAAACATTTTATATCTCAGCCATCAGTCACACACTAAGGGGTGTCAACACCATTAACTTTCCCCCCTCGACTTTGTATCTGCCACAACAGGGTTCAAATTATTACAGGAACCCTGTGGAGGCTTGAATGTAAAGCATCAATTTTGCTTGCGTTTAACTTACTGTCAGAGACATTACAGGGAACATTTGCAAAATGTTTATGCAAATACAACATTGATTATTGGTGCATCACTGAATTACTGTGCTTCCGCCCCCCAACAGCACATGTTGAGTCTGGGGGTGCGTTATATTTGGTACAAATAAGTAACAACCAGCACTGAACTATTTTTTGTCTCCATCATATTGTTACTCCTTCTATCTGCAAATAGACTGTACTTTTTGTACTGTGGCTGAAACACTTGATGCAAATACAGACATCCAAAAATAGTATCTAATTAGTAAGCATCCTAATTTATCAGCTAACAACGCTCTTTCCAAGTTTCCACAATCACTGACAGAGATGAGCACAAATGAAGTGCCGGCAAGACTGCTCCCTTCCATCACCACAACAGTGTTAGAAATGCATCCGGTCTCTTTAATGTGAGTTTGTGGAGTAACCCGACTCTTATATGTGTTGAATTTTAATTGACCTCCTGATAAACTGTTTATTTGGAATAATAACCTCCCATCCCCCACATTCTCAGTCTTGCAATACAGCAAACAGCAAGAGCAATCTGGCAATCATTTTATAATACTGTGACTAAAGTGAGTAAATATCTGAAATAGTGCAGAATTTTAATTTGAATGAACTCTTGAAATGTAGTAAATGTGACAGTGCAGCATGGATCTAATGAATCTCAGTTGTGCTCTATGCTACATGATCATTTTGGAAAGGACAGCTTGTGGGGAAGAAATCTGAGTGACATGATGT